TGTGAAATTTTATGTTATATGAATTGTTTCCATTTTGAAAATGAACAAATAATTGAAAGAAATATTCGGTATGCATGTTTAGATTCTCTTAATGTTTGGCTTTTCTCTCACATTCAAACTTAATATTTGAGTGTACTTTTGGGTTAATCGCTCATTGCCATGGCCCTGGAAAGTGTTCAATAAATACATCTTTATTTTCTTGTACCTGGGAAGGAAGTCCTCATGAGTAATGAGTTTTCCAGCTGTGACACAGTGAGTTGTCAGACAAACACAGCAAGGAAATGAAAGTCTGCAGTTACACTCTTACTCAACAGCTCTTGGCAGCCATGAAAACAACCATTCATCAAACGCGGGCACAACAAAAGTCTCACAGAGCAGGGCAATGAAAACCTCAGCAATAAAACCTGTGGCCTCTCGTGAAAGAAGCAGTTAACTGTCCACCAGAAAGTCCTGTTCCCCTTTTCATGGTATAGGGTCGTAGCTGGGCAGCAGAAGCCTAGCCAGGGACTACATTTCCCAGCCCCTTTGCATATGGATCAGGTCATGTGACTCCCCAAAGCAAGTGAGTGGAAGTGATGAGTGTCACTTCTAGACCAAGGCATTAAAATGTCAGAAATCCATTCCTCCCTGTCTTCTTCCAAATGCCATCTCAATGCACAGGGGATGGCCAGGCCACAAAGTGGAAGGAGTCTGAGTCCCTGAATCATAATGAAAAGCCTCCCGCTGACCTGGAACACCCACAATGGTCAGCTGCGTGAGGAAGAAAGAGGTTTGTATGTGAACAGCAGATAGACTGTTATTATATTAAGCCACTGAAATGTTGGGGTGTGTTTGTCATAGCAGCTAAACATCAATATTCGTTCATTCCACCAAATGACTACTTATTATGTGCCTTTCATAGGAACACAGAGAAGAATAGCATGGAATTCTTCCCTCAAAATGTTCTAATCCTAAATTGGAAACTTAGATGGAAGAATTAATGGGAGAGACAACTCAAGTTGCTACCAATGGAAGAGTAGCAGGTGATCCACAAAGAACCTGTATGGATCAGTCACATTAAAGAAATTGAAAGAATCAACCAACAAACTCCCTAAAAGCATCAGATTGTTTTGTGGACAATTTTATCAAACCCATCAATAAAATGATTTAGTCAAACTATTCCAGAGAACAGAATAAGGTGGAAAACTTTCCGATTTATTGTGAGCCCAGAGTTACCATCCCTGATACAAATGTCAGACAAAGAGCACACATACACAAAAAAAAAACTTCATCTGGAACATAGCCAATAAAAATAACAAAAAGAATACACCTACCACACATACCACCACTAGTTACTTCCAAAGAGAAATGAATGCATGTGTCTGCACAAAGACTTGTACATGAATTTTCACAGCAGCTTTATTTACAATAGCCAAAAAGTTGAAACAATACAAATGTCCATCGGCAGGTGAATGGATAAACAAATTATGGTATATCCATACAATGGAATAATACTCAGCCTAAAAATGAATGAACTCTTGTTACAACAATATCATGAATGAGCCCCAAAATGATTGAGCAAAAGAAGTCAGACACTGACCCTTCCCCAGAAAAAGAAAGAAAGAAAGAAAGAAAAGCACATACTGTACATTCCACTTATATAAACTAATCTATAGTCATAGGAAGCAGATCCGTAGTTGTCTGGGGTGGGGAGTTGGGAAGAGAAAAACCAGAGAGATTACAAAGAGGCACAAAGAAGCCTTGGGGCACAGTGGATACATCCACAGTCTTAATTGTGCTGGTGATTTCACAAGTGGACACATATGTCAAAACTCATCAAAGTGTACATTTGAACCATGTGCAGTTTAATGCAGAAGTATACCCTAATTAATCTGTTTTAAAGCATATATGTATATACATATATATGCAACGGCTTCACCTCCCTGACCCTCATCTACAAAATATGATTATGTGGTTATTATCTATGCTGTTTATCTGTTCATATGAGGTGAGATGAAATAACGAATGTAAAAATATTTTTGCAAACGGTGAACACAAGCCATTGGGACATTGTGTAATCTTTATTACTATTAATGCCATTATGAATAAGAATAGCATCATTATTAAAATCGCTATCACAGTCACTACAAAAAAGACCCCATCATCTTGGTCTTCTGGCTTCCTATTTTAAGGTCAGTGAGATAGTTCATCAATTTAACTTAAAAAGAAAAATAAACTTAGTGAGTTCAGTAGTTCCTAGGGATGACTGGGAAGAGATGGTGACAAGCTGAAAAATACAACAGAGTTTACCAGGATGTTAGGAAAGATGTGTTGTGAGATGTTCATATACGAAACAGCTAGGGAAACCAAGACATAAGTGTTCTGTAAATGCCCTGTGTTCCTGGACAAGTTTTGACTTGAATGCAATCATGGAAGATCCTACAAACACATAATGATGGGAGTCTGTGAACATTTGACTACTGACACCTGAAAAATCATGGTCAGTCCATCTCTGCCGATGGACTGGAACTTCAGGAAACAAGAAGACAACAGTGAGTCTTCCTTCCAGGCTAAAAGGAGGCAGAACTTCTTGGTGCACAGAGGCACAGTCCAGGGACTGCTAAAGGGAATAAAAAGGAGGGCAAAGAAGGATCCCAGATTCTGTAAAGAAGGCGATGGTCCTGACCTTCAGGAAGGTGATGGTACTTTTTTAACGCCTCTGTACTATTTTTTCAAAAAAGCATAAATCAAGACACAAGAAAGAACAGTACAGGGTTCAGTTCATAGCTGCTGAGACTTGTCCCTCTTCAGGTGGGGAGAGAGCCGGGTAGAGTGAGAGAAAAGGGAATTAATGTTTATGAGAACTTACTATGGCTCAGGCTTGCATTTTACAAAGATAGTCTTAGGAAGCTCTCCCAATGGCATTGCACTGCTGAGAGCTGAACTGCACAGACTAATTGCCAGGCACTCTGCTCTGTGTGCAGCATCTCATCAAGCCCTTTCAACAGCCCGGGGAGGTAGGTACTACTATTATCCTCACTTATTTTTTTAAAGGAGGTACTGGGGATTGAAGCCAGGACCTCATGCATGCTAAGCATGCGCTCTACCACTGAACTATACCCTCCCCCGAAGAGTCTGAATGTATGTGTGTGTGTGTGTGTGTGTGTGTGCACCCACATGTTTAATTAGTTATAAAAATTAGGGAAATATATTCAATTTCTTGTAATAAGCTATAATGGAAAAGAATCTGAAAATATATATGTATGTATAAGTATGTATATGTATAACTGAATCGTTTTACTGTACACCTGAAACTAACATTGTAAATTAACTACACGTCAATAAAAAATAAAATTGAAAAGATTAAGGAAAGAGGATTAATAGTTAACAAAAGTGTATCTCTTGGGTGTAAGGTTAGGATGATTGAGTAACTTCTCTTTACACTTTGTACACTTCTGTACAGTTAAAAATTTTTGATGGGTATATCTTGCTGTTTTATTCTACAAATAGTGATCATAACAAACAAAAACAATAAAAATATAAATAGTGCTAACCAGATCTTTCTCTCATATCCCTGCTCTTTCCTTTTTCTCCTTAAAAGGTGGTTTATTAATTCTCCTTCCTCACCCTCGACCATTCTACTCCCATCCCTAGAAAAGCAGGAAAGTTAATAGAAATGAACAAATCCCTCGGACTCCCCAGACCCAGATGGACTCAATTATGTCCCCAAGGAGCAGTATCTTATTCAAAAAGTGCCGCCAGCATTAAACAGGAAATGTCAGATCAGACCATTTCCGCACACCTGGTCTCCAGGAGGGAAAACCAAACTCCACCTCCACCGCAGAGACTGCCAGAGGCCCCCAGGGCTTAGCAACCGGCTAGCTGCCAAGGGTTGTGACAGAACATCTCCCTTCCAGGCCCAGCCGTGCCATGAGACAGTCGTTTGCCCACGGGATAAGGCCCTTCTCCTCTCTGGGGCTCTATTTCTTCTATTGAATGGGGATGACAATGCCAACCTCTGAGACTGGTGACAAGATCAAATAAGATAATGCAAGCAGAAGCACATTTTCAATTGCAAATGCTCCACCAAGCTAAAGTAGAGCAGGGGACTTATCAGCCTGTGTGTAAAGGCCACTGTTTATTTTGCATGATATTCATGAAAAGACATAGACGGAAGAGGGGAGGAAGGGAGGGGAGGCTCCTGGGCAGCTGGTGGAGTTTTCCTTTACCCTGGAAATCCAAAGCATGAAGAGGAAGATGAGAGCAAGAGGGTATGTTTGTGCTCTGTTGGGGAGGGTGCTTTGGAAGAGACTGGGGTGTAGAGCACACATCAGATGTTCTAGGGCTGGGGCTGTTCTAGGTGAGCTTTGAGATCTGCCAGTAGGACTCTCTGTTCTGGCTGCAGACTTCAGGCCCAGGGGACGGGAAGGAGGAGCTGACAAGGAAGCCTGTTAACTGCCCTCCAGCCCTTTCCAGGGCACCTCAGTCAGCCAACTGCGGCTAGAAGGGCGGGGAGGGAGGACCAGATGAGTGTGTCCAAGAGGCAACACCAAAACAGGCACAATTGTCTGCAGGAAAGGACCAGAGCCTGGGCTCCCGGAGAGTCCATCTAGCCCTGCGACATTAGGCAAGTTGCCACTCTACCCTGGGGTTCATTTCCCCTTCTATAAAATGATGGTTTTGGACCAGAACAGGACACTTCTGGTCATTCTGTGCCTGCCCATCAGGCAGAGAAGCTTTCCAAACAGAGGGCCCATTGAGAGCCGGAGCTGGAGCCTCAGGAATTCCCTCCAGCCTCAGCCAGGGACAGACACAGGCAGTTTTCTTCCCTCTGGTTCCTGTGTCCTGCCCTAACTGTAGTGGGAATCTGTGACCTAATTTTTCCTTCCCTCCCAGGAGGGGAAGCTGGAGAGACAGAGAGGAGGCAGACAACAGTGTGCAAAATAGGAAGATGGAGTGAGGCTGGGGGACCTGGCAGAAGGTCACTGCAGGGGGCCAGGGGAGAAGACACATGCACCAAGATCAGACAAACCAAACTTTATTATTCAGAAAAGCATTATTAGTAATCACCACCAAACTATTGAATAAGGCACATCGGTCCACTCTCCCCATCTGCCCTCACCCTCCCATGCCCACCCTCTCTTCTGGCCTTTTGCAGAACACTGAGAAATCCTCTTCTGGGCCTGCAAGGGCTTTTGGGCTGTGGGCAGCCCACAGCGGTCTCAGGTTGGATTGAGTCCTAGAGGCCAAAGAGGGACGCCAATGAGACTGCCTCCAGTATCCAAAAGTTCCAGGCCAGCTCAGGTGGCCATTCCCATGGCCCAGGGCCTCGAGGGGGAGGAGAGGATGGGTGTGGGAGCCATCTTCATGTCCTTCTCACATCTGGAGAAGTAGCTGGAGGCCAAGCAGGAAGGCACACTGAGAAGAGCCAGTGAGCTCTGGAATGCTGCAGGCACATCTGGATGGATAAGGTACCACAAAGGCCAAGGAGACTTCTGCTCCTGCGTAAGGTCACCTGACCCCAGACAGAGCACCATGGGCTGGGGGCTAAGAAGAGGTCCTCAGAGGGCTGGAGCTGAGCTGAGGATGCGGCTTATGTGGCGACCTAAAACAAAGAGAAAAGGAACACATGCTGGAGCTCCAAACCCACTGTTTAGGGTACAGGGCCGGTTCCAGGTATCTGGAAGTTTGTCCCCAAGTCATAGCAGGAGGAGAATAGAGATTTCTCTATGTCAAGGCAAAAATAAATATTTATCATCCTGGCTCCTCCACTGAATGATACAGAAAGGGAGCGGCTGGGCAAAGTCTGTTCCCTTGCTCCGCCTCCCTCTATGGCCAATCAAAACTCTGAAGCCCTCTGCTGCCCAGGCCAGAATGGTTTTGCTGGCCCAGGAAGTGGGCCCTGGGAGAGGTCAGCATGACTGGCTCTGGGAGTTTCCATGGCCTCAGCAACATGGAAATCCGCAACAGAAGAACCAAAGCTGCTGGGCTTCCAAGACACACCCAAGTATCCCAGCAAAGCCCACCCCCAGGCTCCGGCTGGCAGCAGCAGTGGGAGCTGAGGGAACAGGTACCCTGCCTGGAGTATGGCAGCAGGACCCCAGCCTAACTGATACGCTGAAGGGCTGTGTTCTGGGATTTCCCGGAGGAGAGAAAACAACCACAACAATACACATAACCACAATTTCAATGGGTACAGAGTTTCAGTTTTGCAAGATGCAAAATTTCAGGAGATGGATGGTGCTAATGGCTGCACAACAGCATGAATATACTTGATGCCATTGATCTGTACACTTAAAGATGGTTTAAATGGTAGGTTTTATGTTATAAATATTTTAGCACAATTAAAAATTTTCTTTCCTAAAACTTTCCTGTGTTAACAGTATCTAACATGTATTGACCCCTACTGTAGATAGTATGGCCTGGTTCTGAAGAGTCAGATTGCCAGGATTCAAATCCTAGGTCCACCACTCATCAGCTGGGAGACAAGGTAAGCTACTTAACCTCTCTGTGATTCATTTTTGTCACACAGAGTATGAGAAGAATAACAGAACCCAGGTCAATAGGGTTGTTGAGAGAATGAAATGAATACATTAAGTGCTTTGAGCAGTGCTGGGCACACAGTGGGGCTGGATAAATGCAAAGACAGTGACTATGTAAAACTTACATAAGCACTACACACACACACACACACACACACACACACACACACAACACACACACACACACACACACACACACACCCCTCCCCCAGATCTTCACCACTACAACAGGGAAACCTAAGACCTCTCCACCTAAGCTTTAAAAACATGCTCACAAAAACACATTCTGGCCTTCCCCATTTCAGTTTCTAACCCAGAGAGGGCTGAACTTTTTCAAAGAGCAGACTTCTGCAGGATTTAGCAAAAAGGTTGAATTGTCACAACTTCTTGGACATTTTGGTTATTAGTGTCACTCCTACAACTTCTCTCTGAATAAAAATCTTTTAACTTTTAGAAAAGGAGGGGGCACTGGGTTTTGGTTTTTTGTTTGTTTGTTTATTCAAAGGCCTATGACCCCCTCAGAAAGCCAAGAAGCTTCTCACCTTACCAAGGCTGGGCCAGCTGTCCACCCCTGATCCAGAGTTTTCTCCTCTCTTTGGTGTGACCCACTCCTGGCCAGCTGCTCACCGTCAACGCCAGCATCTCTCACAGGTGGTGTTCCTTTTGACTGGGAAACTGTCTGGACAACCTTGGCTTCATTTCCCAAACAATATAGAGGAATGTTCAAATCCACAGTTCCCAAGTCCCTGACAAGGGCAGCTATCTTCTCATGGGGGGCCGGGGCAGAGGGGGACTGGGAGCTGGGAGGGTAGTGTCCCTCTGCTAAAGAAATTCCCTGGGAGATGGAATGCCTCACATCTTCAAACAGATCACAGCCAAGTAGTTGGGCCCCTTGGTGATAAATGGGCCAGGACAACACAGGACTGCTTGGAACCTTAAGGTAGGAAAAACTGATTCAGGTCCAGAAGCAGTTAACACCAAACTAAATTCCTCGGGCTTCTTTTACAGCAGGACTTCTCAGAGCCTTTGATATGCTATGAGCATCGTGAATATAGCATCAAGAATCTCCAAGAAAGGGAGACAGCACCTTTAACAAGCCCATTTGGTCTTGAAACCTTCTTTTAGAGGAAGCTCCTGAGCCAGGATTCCTGGAAACATCCACTGCTATAATGTAAACAGCATTAGGCTGGGAGTCTAAAGACTGGGTTCTGATCTTATTCTGGCTGTTCCCAAGAGCAAGCTCTCAGTCTCCAACTGTAAAAAAGGGCTGAGGTCCCCTAACACTCCTTGACAGGTATTGGGAGGTGGGGATGGAGCAGAAGCCTGTGAGAGGAAGGCTGGGAAGGCGAGGCCAGGGAAGCTAGTGGGCGTTAGAGCCTGGCCTCCGTGAACTGCGAAGACAAAGACAAACATGCCAAGAAAGACTCCAAAGGCGCATGCATACAGCCCGCGGGCCCTTCCTATCCTTCCTCACCTTTGTAGATGGGCCCCACCCCAAAACATCAAAGTACCAAGGAATGGACCCGGAAGGACTGCGCAGGATGCCCGCACAATCCCAAACTAAGACTGAACTCGTCGCTCATCCCTGGACCAGTGGAGGCCCGTCCCCAGCTCCGCCCAAGGCGGCGCGCCTGCC